TATATATATATATATTGTGTTATATATACATATATAACACAATATATAGATATATACATATCTGTATATATATATATATCTATTCTCATACGCACCTCTCCGAGGGAGTAGAGCTCAGAGGGGATTAATGCGTCCGTGCGTCCGTGCGTGCGTGCGTCTTCGATTTTCCCGGCCGTTTCGCTAGGGACATCCTCAAAATTCTGAAAATCGGTGGCACCCCTCACGCAGATCGTGAAGGAGAGGTCCAAAAACACATAGGATTTTCAACATTTTAACATAAAACCTTCAAAAACACATGGTAATTTCAATAATTTTGACCCCGATTCTCAGAGAATGGCGGTTTCGCCTGAGACATCCTCCCAAAATCGAGCCCCAGACCCCTCCTCGGAGCCTCCTGGGGGCCTCCTGGAACCTCCTGGGGCCTCCTGGGGCTTTCTGGACCTTCTGGTACCCCAGACCCCGCCTCGGAGCCTCCTGGAGTTCTCCTGGGCCTGCTGAGGCCGCCTGGGGCCTCCTGGGGCCTCCTGGGGCTTCAGAACTACATGCACACACAGAGACACAAATCACGCCCAACACATCACACGCTAGACAAACATAACATACACACACAACACCGACAACACACAAAAAGCACGCACCACACAAAGCACACATCACACACACACACACACTCACAATCCTGGGGCCTCCTGGAGCCTCTTCTGGTATCCAAGTCGGGCCTCCTGAGGCTTCCTGGGGGGCCCTGGTACACACATCGCAAGGTGTGGCAACCCCTCTTGCGCTCGAGTGCGACTTCGCTGTTGCATGTCACTCCTGCTTCAAACGCCCCTTCAGCTTGTTGTATGAGCCTGGGCACACACGTGCCACTTGTATATATATGGGCGGTGGATGCGGACAAGTCCCAGCCTCGAGTGCCAGATGCCGATTCGGTCGCGACTCGCCCCTTTCCTCGCTTGTGACCTCCCACCTGGCGCGGCGACCTGGATGTGGGATCGGCGCTCGTGGGTGGGGCGCGCTGGAGGGTGACGGGCCCGCTCGGCCGGCAGGTCGGCCCGCGGCCTGTCGCGACCGCGACGTCCCGCCAGGAAGGCGGGGTGCGTCGTGGGAGTGGCACCTATCAGGATGGCTGCCCCCCCAATAGGGAGAAGGAATCGCACCACCACCACCACCACCATCACCACCACCACCACCATAACCACCACCGCCACCACCACCACCACCACCACCATAACCGCCACCGCCACCACCATAACCACCACCACCGCCGCCACCGCCACCTTCTGGAGGATGGAGGCCGAGGGTGGTCAGGGGTGGTGGCGGTGGTGGGTGGTGGTGTATAACGCCCTCGCGGGACATCGTGCCCCGCACACCAGCTCATCCTGAATCCCCCGAGGTGGTGGTGATGATGGTGGTGCGCTTCCTGCTCCCAACCCAGGGGCAATCACAAATACCGCTCTGTCCGGTTAGCGTCTGCAAAACAGAAATCCCAGCCTCGGAACCAAAAACGCCCGCCAGGAGTCTTGCCCACGGCGCCCAGATCGCACAGGCCCGCGTGCGCCTGCGCAGAGGCCCTCTGCCGCAGCCTCCACTCATGTCCCCTCATGTGGCATCTTTGCAATACATCGCTGTCCCGTCGCGCCAACCATCTGTGTCGCATCCGTGTCGCATCCATGTCGAACGCGTCGAATCCGCGTCGGATTCGGGTGCTGCGCAGTGGGGGCGATAAAGGGTGGAGGGGGGAGACGTGCACCTTCCGTGCCCCTCTTGGGCCCCAGGGGGCCCCATTGAGGCCCCCTTCAAGGTGCACCTTTTTCCTCCCCCCTAGTACATGCCCCCACCAGCCCGTGCCGAATCCACACCGGACTCATGTCGAATCTGCGTCGAGACCACGTCGGCATACAGCAGAAGACTGCCGTTTTTGGCGGCGCGCACAAGGGGGTGGGGGGAGGGGGAGGGCTTCTTAGAAGCAGGCTGCTTCTCAGAAGGCGCCGGCCTCACATCTATAGAGAAGGCCCGCGCCTTCTGAGAAGCGGCTGTGCTTCTGTGAAGCCCTCCCCCCTCCCCCACCCCCCCTTGTGCGCGTGGGTGCCGTTTACACCCTGCGAAATGCTTAAGAAATCATGGGTTAAGAAACTCAGAGTCTCAGAATTTGAATACAAACCCAGAACGTCGATCAAAATCTTGGGATTTACATTGAAACATTAAGAATAATCGAGACTCTCGCCGAAAACTTCAGTTTTCTTAAGCATCGCCTAGGGTGTACAGGACAGGGGCGGCCCCCCGGTAGAGATGCAAAGTGCCCCCCCCCCCCCCCTGGTGGCCGGCAGCGTGGCGCTGTAGGCGCCCTGCGCGAGCCAGTTCCTGGCGCCCGCAGGGCACGCGGCGCGACGCGCGGGGGGGGCGAGGGGCGCCGGGCCGGTGGACAGCACGGGAGCCCCCTGCGTTGAAGGGGCCCCAGGACACACAAATAAATACACACAAATAAAAATATTCCCCATATTTTCCCATACTTTCTGGGTTTTTGTCTTCCCCCCACCTCCCATATTTTCCCATATTTTCCTGGGAATCGACGATGAATTGTGTCTGTGTGTTTTTCCTCTCCTGATACGTAGCATTCAGCGCGAGCGTCTTGGAAGCATGAAGGCAACGTGCTCCTTATCGTTTGCTCGCGCGGGCCCTCGCCAGGCCCCAGGGGCTGTCAGGCAGAAGTGGCCCAGGACGAGAGGCCGGCCCTGGGACACTGGTCGGGACCTCCGGGGGGGGGGCCCGCATAGAGAAATCGCTGCATCGGGCGTCTGGGGAGAAGCTCAGCTTGCATGGCATCTCGCCCCGACCCTCCCCACCGCCGCCTTTTCAAAAAGGTCTGGCCAGAAAAGAGTGTACAGGTCCGTCCAGACGTGCTGCGTGAAGTCCAAGCTTCAGCCTGGGCCTCGCCACGATCCCCCCCCTAGCAACGCAAACAGGCTCGCTGGGTTATGGAAAGCAGCTGCATATTTCTTGATTTGTTCAATGATCGAGAGTGCTTCATCCTCTTTTCTTTCTGCAAAACACTGCTCTTTTTCAGGAAGGCCTCCATCGCTCCGATGCAGTGCGTGGTCGCCGCGCGGGTGGGCAGCCCGACATACCGGGCCGAGGGACTGCAGGGAAGCTGGGAACCGTGGAAGGATCGGCGCTGGACAGACCTCCCTTTAGTAGACCTCCCCTTAGTGAAAACGGCCTGGGCCCGAAACCGACGAACCTGGACCCGCAAGAATGACGGCCGCGACGCCCTCCCGCGAACCGAAAACGGCCAATTCCTTAATCGACGTGTCAGGGTAGGAGGTCTGTCCACCTCCGAAAGGAAACAGGGAACGCCGAGCGCGGGACGCGCGCGCGCTCGGCTGCGTGCCCGGGGGGGCTCCGCGGAGCCTCGTCGCCCCGGCGTGTCGGCGTGCGCCCGCGGGCCCCGTGTCCAGCAGGGGAGCCCGTCGCGGACTCGTCGGGCCCACCGGTCGTAAGCCATGCTGTTGAGTTCGAAGGTGGAAGCTGGAAGCTATACAGTCGGGGCGTTGACCTAAGGAACCCTAAATAAGGAACGAGGCCCCTTTTTTCCATAAGTTAGACTTCGATTCCCTGTCAAAAACATAAGGAAAACCTGAGGCAAGCTGTGAAACAATTCAGGAACATCGAGCCCCTCCCCAACGAAAAGGGTTCCTTCTTCAGGGCCCCGACTGTGTGGAAGTGGAGGTGGCCAGGGCTGCAAAAAGCTGGCACGGGCCGGAACGAGGCCGAAACGGCCGGGATGATCGGATGAGGTCGCCGAGGCTGGAACAACGGAAGGGAAACTTGCCAGAGCTGGAAACATGATGATAAAGGGAAATTAGGACACACAAATAAATATACACAAATAAAAATAGTCCCCATATTTTCCCATATTTTCTGGGTTTTTGTCTTCCCCCCCACTTCCCATATTTTCCCATATTTTCCTGGGAATCGAGGATTAATTGTGTCTGTGTGTTTTTTTCCCTCCTGAGATGCAAGGGCTGGGCACGGCCACCTCACTGTTTTTTGCGTTCCTTCCTCCTCGTGGCCTCCCCCGACACTCCGCCAGCGCCACGCTCCGCCTCCGGGCCCGCCCGCGCACTACGGAATGTGTACCGACCAGGCTGTACAGTCAACGCCCCGGCCAACAGGGATCGAGAAGCGTGCAGGAAAACAATATATATATATATATATATATATATATATATATATCTGTACAAATTAAAATCGGGAAGACGTAAGACTCGGGTACGGGGGACTCGGGGTGGCCTGACGGGGCCATCATAAAAATGGCGAGACCCAATGTGAAATTTGACGCGAGCTCCCGCCGCAGACACCCCACGAAAACCAGACCGTCAAAATCCAGGACGCGCTCGTCAAAAAACGTCGGCACAGAGTTCCGGCTTACTGGAGTCTTACGTTTCCCCGGTGAAAAAGTAAACAAAAAGATGGTTAACCCCGGCCAGTGTTGCCGGCTTCCCGGCAGAGGGAAGCCAATCTCTCAGCCTTCGGGCTTCCGCGGGCGCTGTTTTCCCGTCGAGGCCCGGACCCCCCCTGCTCCCAGAGACTCGGCGGCCCAGCTTCGAGGCAGGCTCCCCTGGGGCTCTCGGCCCTTCACCCGCGAGCCGGCTTTGCATCCTGAGTCGTTCTGGGATGGTCCCCGGGCCCGAGCACGGGCTCAGAATCCGCGAATGGCAGAAGCCGTATGTCTTGATTGCTTTTAAGCTGCGGGATGTCAGGCCCGGGCCTTCCAGTTCGCCTGCAGTCTGCGCGGTATGAGGGGCGAGCCATGGGGTGAGTCGTTCGCGCCGTGGCGCCGAGCAAGACCTGTGGGTCAAAAAGCGGCGGACGTATCGATCTCGACGCCCTCGCAGTCTGGATTCCGGATGCGCGGATCGCGCGGATGCGCGGCCGCATGGATACGTGCTGCGCGGGTCGGTGGCGAAAGAAAACGCCCCGCATCCGCGGGTTCTCGGCCCAGGGGCCCAGCCCGCGAGGCCGTGGATACGGACACGTTTTTCGCCCACGAGTGGGGGCATGAAAGCGAAGGCCACCTCGAAGGATGGTTTAGCCTGGCCTGACTATTGGGGAGGGGGCACGCTGCCACACCCAGCGCGAGACACGTGCGCTCAGCTCGCCAGACTGCGATAGGCGAACGCGCCAATCGACTTCGATGGCCCAGGAAACGAGACACGTCGTCAATGCGAGCTTTTCGGAGGTCCGCGCGGACGTCTCCGATCGGCGATGGACCGTCTTCCCCTGTGCGCGGAGCACGCCGCGGGAGGCGCCGGAGGCGCCGCCAGGGGGGCCCCAGCGCCGACGCGAGAGAGCCGCGCGGACCTCCGACAGTCGTTATTCCGACCCACGCTGCCATCCCCGCCACTTCCGCGCCCCCATCCCCAACCCCCTCCCCCTCCTCCTCCTCCTCCTCCTCCTCCTCCTCCTCCTCCTCCTCCTCCTCCTCCTCCTCTCCTCCTCCTCCTCCTCCTCCTCCTCCTCGTCGTCCTCCTCCTCCTCCTCCTCCTCCTCCTCCTCCTCCTCCCCTCTCCTCCTCCTCCTCCTCCTCCTCCTCCTCCTCCTCCTCCTCCTCCTCCTCCTCCTCCTCCTCCTCCTCCTCCTCAGCGCGAGACGTGCGCTCAGCTGGCCACACTGCGACAGGCGGACCGCGCGGCTCGTCCTTCGGCCGGCGAGCCCACCCGCCGACGGGAGCCGACCGCGAGAGGACGCCTGCCTCGTCAACAAATTCGTTGCGGCAAGCCCCGAGGGAAGCGCTGCGGAGAAGTCGGGCCAGACGGCAGGGGGAGGCGGCCAGGGGGTCTGGACTGCTTGGGACCCCAGAAAAAATCGGTCCAGGGGAGGGGGCCACACCCGCTCAAAAAAATCGGTCCCCGCCTCCGAGGGCCCCCTCTGGTGTACTTTGTCGCCCCTGGATCCGTCTTCGGAGGTCCTGGGGCCCGAGAACGGCCCCCCTGAGGCTGAACAAAAGAAGAAACGACACCGTCCGAGTCGAGAACCTCTGACCTGCCCGCCCTTCCTGCTCACTGGAACCAGCGCTGGGCCGCCTCGGACCCCCCGCCGGCTCCAAGGTCCGTGCACCGTCGGCTCAAGCAGCGCGCTTGCCCGGCGCCTCCTGGCGCCAGGAGCTGCCGTGTATCGAGGGGCGCGCGGGGCGGAGGGGCTGTGACCCGCTGCGGGCAGCACCGTCCGTAACCTCCTGCGGGCAAGATCTGTATCCACATCCACTGCGCCTTGGAGCTTCGGGCCCCCCTCTCGCCCGCGACACGAGGCGCAGCGGATGCAGCTAAAAGCCTGACCCCCAGAGGCCAGATGTCTGCCCCTGTACACTGCCCCTCGGCGCCCCTTCCCAGACAGTCCCAGACGCAGTGGATATTGATGCAAATCTTGTCCGCCACTCCCTTCGCTGTTCCCTCTTCCGTCCGACCCGAAGAGAGCCGAGCACGGGGTCTTGCACTTCCGGCCGGTCTCGGTCATGTCCTGCGAGGGGGGCGGGCGGGCAATCGTGTCCGAGGGAGGGGGGGAAAGCCAGGGCAGGGATCGGGAGCACACGTGGATGGGAATGGAGGGATGGGGAGGGAAGGGAGGCCTAGGATGAAGAGAGGGAAGAGGAGGAAGATAAGGGCGAGGAGTAGAGGGAGGAGTAGGAAGAGAAACCAGACGAAGAGTAATGGAGAGGGACGGGATTACGCCAGGCCATACATGCAGGCATGCATGCATGCATGCAGGCATGCATGCATGCATATACATATGCGCTTACATACATGTGAAAATGCATACATACATACATACATACATACATACATACATACATACATACATACATACATACATACATACATAAACGCGTACATACATGCATACGAACAAACACACATACACACGTACATGCATACCTGCACACAGACAGACATAGAACCCGACCTACATGCATACCGCAGTGCATACATATCTACATGCATGACTGCATACACATGTACATGTACATCTATACACACAGTCATACATACATGCATGCATGCATACATGTATACATCCATCGGGACATACACACGTACGAACGTAAGTACCTACGTAAGTACGTGCATACACAAGTACATACATACAGACATGCATGTGCCACGCACATGCACGCGTTTCGCGAGCTTAGGTTCTAGCAAGCCGTAGCCTCTAGAATCTAGCAATTTCCCATTCAGTCTACGATGCCCCGAACCCCCAGGAGTTACAGGTGCACTGGGAAGACGTCAACTGCACCTGCATATCGTACTCTGTCGCCTCCTCTTCCTCCAACAGCCCCCATTCTGCTTCTGAGATCAATTCCAAAGGTGGCTCCTCATGGTATATGTGTACGAAGGTTGGGCCTCTGGCCGGGGGGGGGGGCGCCTGAAGTGAAGTCTTGCTGCGCGTCTTGGGGCGCCCATGGGCCGCCTTCAAATATTTTTCGGCCGCAGCGAAAGGATCTCT